CAACAAACACACACACTAAAAAAGCTCCACTCCTTGGCCCACTCTTCCTCAAGCACCTCTCTGTAATACTCAGAGTCACTCTGCCCTCTACAGGTCAGTCTGTGTTGTCTGCTTGTAACAGCAACTTTTCCCATGCTGGAACATGTTGGACCGACACATGTGCCTGATATAATCAAATAAAATAAAAATTAAAAACATTTGCCGGTGTTTACTTGCTAACGTAGCTGCCTCTCAGTGTCCCACTGAGCATGTGTTCAGTTTTCACAGTTTGTAAGTGATGTGACAGATGGTGGTGTTATTTATGGTCTGAGGAGAGAAGTTGGTTAAAACAAGACGACTGCTGTTTGAGTGACTCCAGAATCCAGTGGATCTCTCATTCAAGTCATATGTGGCAGCTGTCCAAACTTTCAGACAGTCTAGACAGTCAGAGTTCTTCAAAGTTTGAAATAAAATAAGCTAAAAAAATTAAATATATAAGAAAAAATGCTGAGCAATTTGAGGCGAGATGTTGTCAGTCAGCATCAGTGAGCATAAAGAGTACGGCTGCACAAACGGAAATTAATTTTAAGATCATGACACAATCATATGACGCACAGCGCTGTCGCTACTTACTACAAAGCAAACTTATTAAAAATTTTCATTTTAATTTCAAGTTTTTTGAGAAAATAGTATTTTACTCTTCACTGCATCCTTGGCCGTAACATTTCTGCCATGCGTCATTTTCTTTGTCATTTAAAATGGTAACATATTTGCTGAGTGCTGACTGACTGAAGAAAAGAAAGGACAAGAAAAGAAGCGAAGAGAAAAGAAAAGAAGAAATTAAAGGACATGAAGAAGAAAGATGGATGATCAGTTGTTTGTCCTCTGCCTCCCTGCACCGTAAAAGCTCATGTGCTGACAGATAAACAACAGCACATAAACTCTTACTGTTCAGGGCCGAGAAGTTAAGTTATCTGACACACACACACACACACACACACACACACACACACATACACACACACTTGATGAACCACTGTAAGGATCCACTGTTTATCATTGCCTCAGATTTTTAAATCTTGTAAATCTGAAAATGGTTTCTATATGACAGCACGGCTCAAAATTAATTCATGTGTAATCATTATAAATGACGAAACCTATAAACCTTTCATACTAAATGAACATCAGTATTAAACCGTGTCTACAGTTCAAGTTATCCCCCGTTATGTTCCAGTGCAGGGCTGAGACAGTCTGGTGTAACTTAGCACCCATCAGGGTTTTATGGCTGTTATTATGAACATTACTTCAGCAGCTACTCAACTGTTATTGTTCTGTTTAGTTTCTTTAGTCTGCATTCTCTACAAATATCACCGAGCTACACGAGCACGGCGAAGGCTCTTGTTGTAATGTCCCTTTTTCATCCTTCAGACCTTTTAATAATTTTCAGAAGCCAAACAAGATTGTGCAACAGTGTTCACTTTTTTTGGGGGGGGGTTGCGTGAGCCAAGACATGCCTCTCTCTGTTTCTCCCTTTCTCTCTCTGTCTTATCCAGACTCTACCACAGTCCTCCTCCATAGTCACGATGACTAATATTTACCCCAGTAGTGTCAGTTAGGCACCTCCGAGGACAGCCAAACCACAGCTGTCCTCGCCAGGGCCCAGCCACGGCCTCTAAAACAGTCCAGTAAAGCACACAAGCGGGCAAACGACTGCAGATGACATCATACATCAAACGGCCGCTGCCCTAACTTCAGCTGTGTCCTCAGTTCACCTCTGTACCTCCTCAGTCAAGAATCGACACTGCCTCTGAATGTAATGACATCTGGCGCTCGAGTTGTAACCAGACACACCCAGGAAGAACAGGTCAAAAGGTCAATCACAGACAGGGGATCAAATCTGCGACGAGTACGTTTTGCCTGGTGACAGGACCATCCAATATGTCGCATGTCTGAAATCAGCGAGAGCGACAGATTGAGAGAACGCTGGGCTTGATGACAGGGCGAAGACAACAACCAGACAAGTTCTGGCCCTCGCCAAAGTACATTTTGTCCACACAAACAAGAAAACCACAAAGCAGAGGAAAACCAGAAGTGTGTGAGTATGCAAGCATGGAATAACAAATGACCAAATCACACCCATATGGAGGAGAAAAAAAATATGCAGATGCACACCCACGCACGCACGCACGCACACACGCACGCACGCACGCACACACACACACACATAAACACCCTCTGCCCGCTGTTTGGGCCTGGATATCACTCTCACACTGCAGCATAGATTTCTTCAGCGTGTAATTTCATGTCATTAGCTGACATGTACTGACTTTCCCTGCCTTTTCTGTTCTTAATATAGCAGTCCGACTGACAACTATAAATATACTCCCACTGTTTCCCTCTTTCATATGTCAACACACATCACACACACGTCAAACACGCTGCATATCTAACCAGCTCTCACATCACATCACGAGGTTACTTTCCTTTTCTATGCAAACTATGCAGGCGCACACGTCGTCCCAGACAAACACACCAACCCACACACACACACACACACACACGGAGACAAACACAGGAAGCGGAGAGGCATGGCTAAATCCCATGTGGTGCTGGACACAGGCCATACCTCTGGAAACCCTCCAACATAACGTTACATCACATCCATCTGCACCAGCATACCAATTTAACGGTGCAAGCGCATGCACACATGCGTGAATGACATTTTCATAGAGGTGTGAAATATCAGGTTAAAAACAACAGTCCCTCTGTCTTCAACATCTTCTCTTTGTTGGGATCACAATATTGTAGATTGCAAAAAAAAGGCATGTAAATCCAAAAGTTGTAGGCCAGGTGATTCAATCTCAAGTCCTCTGGGGAGTATCAGAGATTATTCCAGTGGGAGCTGTCAGCAGTGGTTGTAGTAACAAGGCAGAGTTGGTCAACTTTGTCAGAGTCTGGACGAGCGTGGGCCCTGGGATGACCAGGCTCTTTGGAGTTTAAGAGCAAGTCTTATATAGACACGCTCACCACTCGGCCCCTCCTCTCCTTCCGTCTCCCATAACAACAAACGCTCCATAATCAAAATAGAGCCCATCTGTGCTGTGACACACCCCTCTGCCCCCTGCTCCATCCCCCATACTCCACCGGGGGAAGAGGGAAAAAGTGATCCTTCAATCGCCCTGCGAAAAACTTGAATGTGCCCTTACTCTCCCTTTTTAACCGCAGCAGCCGGAGAGAGGCAGAGTGGGAGAGGGAGAGGGAGAGGGAGAGGGGGAGGGGGAGGCAGAGAGACGGGGGAGGGAGGATAACTCCACCCTCATCTGTCTCTGTCTCTCATTCCATTATTTCCCGGTTGTTGTGCAACAGGGGGAACGGATTCCTGAGAAGGGAGTCACGGCTCTGTTGTAAAACTTACTGGCAAGAGTGACCCTCTGTGTTTTTCTTTTACTGTTTCCCTCGGCTCACTCACTCTCTCCGTTCGTCTCTACTTGTTATCAAAACCATGTGTATGAGTGTGTGTTGTTAGGTCTTGGAGGGACACAAGGGCCACAGGGGAGCACAGGAGACAATGGATATGAGGGCTGTGATGGGGAAAGGAGACCACGTAGCCATGATATAGTGTGTGTGTGTGTGTGTGTGTGTGTGTGTGTGTGAGCGACAGTGGCGGCACATGAGATGTTAAAACAGGTGACATGTTTTAGACATTAAGGCGGATTAAGAGAGTGAGAGTTTTCAAGAGAGGAAGTTGATGTTACCGTGGAATTTCATCTCAGCAAGGCAAACAACCACTCACAACAGTTGTCTGTAGTTTTCAGATCACGAGTGGATTTTGAAACAACTATTTTCGTGCATGTTATAATAAATGCAGCAGACATGTAACAGAGTATGTTGCACCCAAAGCTGGCGACACACAAGATGTGGAAGGGAGGAGGATGTTGAGTTTCAAGTGAGGTAGAGGCCGGTGGGAGATGAAAGCAAAAGGAGAGGAGGGAGGGAAAGAGGTAGAGAGGAGAAAGAGAGAGCACACATCTGGAAATAATCGTACGAGTGCATGCTGACGTGCACATGCTTCGGCTATAAAAGAACAACATGTCCTTGAACTTTGCACATTTGAGCGTGTGTATAAACCTGTCTATATGACTCCCACATGAGGAAACACCTCCATGCATCCTATACAGAAAAAAATCTAAACCAATCATTGAGATGCAAAGCCTCTAGATGGCATAGCTGCTTTTTATTACTCCTCACATCTGATACTAGGTGAAAATGACTCAGTAACCACATAATGAAGTGTAAAGACAAGTCCAACAATTGTTCGTCCTCATCTGTTTAAACTCTGTGGCAAACACGTTTCAGTACCTATGCTCAGTATAAGCTTCCATTGTTACACAGCTGTCACAGTTCTACCCAAGTAAAGCAAAGTGTGCAAAGCTGTGTTATGCAAAATATTACTCAAACGTATTAAATCAAGGTTTCCACTGTGGCTCGGATGTAAAATTCTTGTCATAATTTTCCACAATCATGGCAGAGTGTTCCCAGAACCTAAAAATGTCAGTCCTCTCCAGCTTTTGCTATTGAGATTACTGCAGGGGGAAAAAAATGGGAAAATATGTTCACGCTTATTCCTGTAAAATTTGTCATTTTACTAATTTCCTGATATTCCTCTAGTTCCCAAACAAATTACGAAAATCCCATGATTGTTCCCATCTGCTGACATGGTTAAAGACATCAGTAAACTTCAGACGAAGTGCTTGTTGGATCGTCTTACAGCATCCGAAACGCCCTGTCTGACTGGAATCAGAGGGCTTTAACGCACTGCTGTAATTTGGTTTATATTTGTCTTTTTCAGAACACTTCTGACGCAGGGAAAAGCACAGGTATAATTACTACCACTTCACCGGAACAAAGCCATCATGAATGTTATTAGTTTCACTTGTCTTGTGCTTTGATAAATTAAAATATATATAACACAGCTCACAAAAGAAACAGAGACCAGAATAGATTAAATAAACAATAGTCACTTAATTAGTTCATTAATTTATTGTCTGTTAGAAAACATCTTCCCTGAGAAGGACAGCAGTCGTTGTTCTGTTCTGGATGGATCAGATCACAGATAAAATACAGCTCGCAGAGAACAGAGGTCATGACTCATAACTTGGTATTTTTACCCAAAGTCCCTCTGGAATCAATTATGGTATCACAACATTTTTCTGAACATTAAATAAGAAACATTCTTTGGCCATATATAAGTGTTTGAGTCTTATTCACAGCTCTTCACTTATTTAGCACCTGAGTTTCTGTGACTTTCGTTCCTCACTGGAACCTCTTGAGAAAGTCCTGGTAGGTTTGTCTGTGAGCAGATGCGGCAGGAACAAAATGGCCACCAGGATGTGTCAGGACGTGAGGGTCTTGGAAGGAGGGGAGGAGCTCCCTGCTCATGTTGTCAGGGATGACTCGGTCTTCCAGCCCAAACACATGCAGGGAGGGGATCTGGAGAGGGAGGTTGTAGAATTTCTGGTGCTCCTCACATGCGCTGCGGAAACCAGCAACAAGGATGGCAAAGCGGAAGCTGAACTCTGGCTCCAGTTTTTGCTCTTGAAGTGAGCACAACATGGCCACTAAAGCTGCTCCCTGACTAAAGCCCAGGATGCCGTCGAACGGACCTTGGACCTTTACAGCTTCTCTCACAGCCGCCACGCTGTCGTCGAGCCCCAGGCTTTCCTCACACTGCTGCTGAGCGCTGAAGCTCCGAGCGTGGATGTCAGAAAACCACCAACCCCTGGGGTCCTCATCTCCTCCAGGTCCAGGATCTGAACCGTTTTCCTTCTCTTGAGCTTTGGAAAGGACAGAAAAGATAAATGGTTATTCTACTGTGTTCTATTATATCTAATTCAAAGGGAGGCACTGCAGACAGGTGGACCAAAAGTTTCTTCATCCTGAAAATTAATCTTTACATTAGGAATTACATACAAACATGTATAAAAATAGGTTAACATTTACCTAATTCTGTATTTGTTATTCTGTATTCTTAATATTTCTGAAGGAATTTGGCTCTACGTGTTTTAAAATGTGAAAAAGTGGCAACTATATATCATAAATTATTGAGGTTGACCAATTAAGACAAAAACAAGCCATTTCACCTGCAGTTTTAATCAAAACAAACAAACATACAGACAAAAAGAAATTATTACCAAGACCATATAGCCTACATTGTGTGTGACAGGTGATGAATTCAATATAGTTTTTTTCCTAAGTTTTATAGAGGATAAATTCAAAAACACTATGGAATTAAAGAAGTAATATCATAATAAAACAAATGTCACTTATCTTGCAAACTTTATTAAACTTGCTGCATTCATTCAAATGTTTGTTTTTAATTTTAGCTAGGCCTAACGTTTTGCACTATTATCATTATTATAATTAGTACTAATTTGCATTATATATAACTGTGTCAATATAAACAATCTACACTATGACAGTAAGCTTGTTATGTTCACCTGAAAACTTTCTACTCACACCTATCTTACAGCATGTTTTGGGTGGAGGCAGATGAAACTAGAGGATGACCCACCTTCACTACTGGCCTGCTGCACACTGTGCGGTGCGCTCACATAGACGAGCTCCACTTGTTTCTTCAGCAGCTTCCGCAGAGCTCCGGTCTTCTCCCGGAACGAGCTGCCGTTCTGACGGTAACCGTGAATGCACAGGAGCCGGAGAGGAGCCATGACGAGGTTAGCTTAGCTAACTTACCGTTAGCTTGCGCTAGCCGGAGAAGTTAGTTTCGGTAACAGAGCGGAAGATATTAACGTTGATATACAAAAAATAATAAGTCGCTGTCATACAGTGCACCACTGTAACTGGTCGGATAAAATACACAGCGAGAAAGAGTTACTTAGTGGTTAAAATGCCGGAAGTTTTGCTAAATTGGAGACAGCCGCAGCACTCATGGGACCAGCCGGAAGGAGTGAAAAGTATTTCCGCTTACAATTTTCAAAGTAAAACCCTGAAAACGGCTGTGAAAACTAAATAGAAGAACATATAGTCAGTGTAAATATATTCTCTCTCATTTCTATTTATGCACTATTTTATGTCTATTTTAATACCACTGTATTATTGTTGATGAGGGGAAGTGTGTTGTTGTTTTTTATGAGCCACTGGACAGTTGAATATCCCTTTGGGGATGAATAAAGTTCTTTCTATCGATCTATCTTAAGTAGAAGTTTTTAAATCAATTTAAATTTTTAGCACGTACACGCTGATTTAGCCAAAATTGACACATTTAATAATTTTTTAAAGAAGGAAATGTGATTCCCTTGAGGTACTTTCTTTGAGCTTGACCAAAACATGGCAGATGGGGAAAGTTTTGCTTGTAGGCTTTCTCTACAGAAGCCATTTCTGGTAGAAATGTATTTATTCTTACCCCAACCACGATTTTTTTTCTGGCCTTAACCGTGAGGTCCCTTTCTGGTAGAAAGCCATCAAGGAAAATGTCCTCCCACTGCCAAAAGATGCGGATCTTCTACTACAGCAAAGAAAAACAAAACAAAAACCAGGTAGTGTAGTGTAGCATAGTGATGCTCTGGTCAGGGTTATTTAAAAGCCAGTTATCAGAGCCAATCCGCCCTGCCTGAGCCCTAAACATATAGGCATTAATCAGTGAACTGAACCCGAACCACAAACCTGGAGCTGAAAGTTTCTGGTCTTAGGCTACTTGCTGACTATGTTTTTTCTCATTTCCAGTAAATATCACAATTTAAAATGTGTATTTTCTGATTTAAAACGTACAAACGTAGAAAGACAGGAAGCACTTACCCATCCTTTAAGTGGTTATGGCCTGAGTGCACAGCTGATAACTTATATGGTTTGTTTACATGACTTTACAGGAGTGCATTTTTTAAGGATTCAGTGTGGACAGGGAGACGCTTGCTTACTGTTAGGACACAGTGTTAGGCCTTCATATTTGCAGATAAATACCCTGTTTTGACAGCGTTTGTGGAGAGATTTAAATATTTTGGACTTCAACAGTTTTTCCTGGTCAAAAGCCGAGTAACGATAAGCCTGAGTGCAGCAGTGCCAATGATAAAGCTGCTTGTTGAGAGAGACAGAAAAAAAGACATGAAGAGAAAGTGGAAGTTGGATTAATGCACAATGTTTCTCCAAGTGAACTTACTCATCTAGCCTTATTACATGCTGGTTAAAAGTGATGTATTGTTTCATTTCTATAAGATTAAATATCAGATATATCAATTACCTCAGTTAGCTCAGTGTTATTAAAAAAAGTAGCATTCACAAACAGTAGACTAAGTTAGGAGGGAAATGCAGGGCAGCCTTCTCTTCAGGCTGTGCTAAAAGTGTGCAGTGAATAATAATGTGCAGTGAATTATAATAATTGAAATAAGGCCAAAGTAACAATTAGAAAAATATATATAACAGTGGGTGGTGCAATTTTTAAGTACATGCAATGTAAAATGTACATAACTATACAATGCAATTTTGCATAGAGTGAAAAGGACTCACAGGGCCAAGGATATACAGAGATCAAAGTTCATCATCCTGATGGCCTGAAGCTATTATAAGCTCTGTCTTAATCCTGAGCAGAGAAGTATTTATCATTTGTGTATCTAATAATGGTGGTTACACTGATATATTAAGCTCCAACACAATTTAGATTACTTCAATTACACTTTAAGTAGCCTATAGGGAAATTATGAATTTAATACAGTTATATTTCATCATCTGTCAGCTACATCGTCAACCTTTTTTCATCAAATGACACCGCAGTGACTTTGGCACCTCAAAGTGTCACAAGTTTTGACAGCCTTTCACATCAAACCTCTTGCACATTACCGCCTGCTCTGCTCTCCTTCAGCTCTGATAACTGATCTGCTCAACATATGGCTCGTGATGATGCCAAAACCATACGCACCTGCTTTAGCATGTCATGTATACATGATATGCTGCAACCTTGTGTTGATTTTATGATGTAAAGAGCTTAAGCCTTGATCGTGATGTGTTCTCACAGGAAAATATATCATCTTGAGTGTCCATTTTGCCATTCACATCCCGTTTTATACCATAAATTTGTCACTAAACGCAGCAGAGCTTAACTTCTGAGAGTTGAAAGTTAGATCAAATCTCTGACACTGACAAGAGACGACAGCCTGTGTTCTTTGGCGTACTTCTGTACTGGACTGAATTATTCAGCACTGGATATTATTCTCTACAGTGTTTACTTATTCTCAAATGATAGACAAAAAGTTAACCGACGGAAAGTAAATCCATTTCCATAATTAATTGTGCGGTAGATCTTTACACGTTTTTGTAGAGAGTTACAAATCAGTGGACTAGTTGAAGACATCTTGGGACATTTTGAACTTTCTGTAGCCTTGAGCTACCTTCAGACTGCAGAAAGTCCAGAGCTATCCACAGCAACCTAATTTCTCAGGTTAAGGGTTTTAAAGTTTTGCAAAATCACTGCACTAATAATCATAATTACTCCGAAGAAAATTATCAGGAATAGTTCTTCCTCCCACCTCCTTACATTTATAGCAGATGCGTTTGAGTGTCTGACTGATGCTCTACTTATGGAAACAGCGTGTGCTTGCATTTCTGGGGCAGAGGGATGAACTCATTGCTAGATGGTGGGAGGATGACCCCTAAAGACACAAATGAGAATGTCTCATGCTGCGACATCTCTGGCGAGGCAGGTGATACATAGCAGCCATTGAAAAGAGAAAAATCACTGAATCTTTGAGCACTTAAATCGTTCATCTCTCTGCAACAATGCACAAAAGAATGTGACAAAGAACTTTATTTTCAACACAGATAAAAGTGAAATGCTAATTCTAGGCCACTGGAACTCACTTATCAGACACTCTTTCAACTTCAGTGGCAGCGTAGCTCTCCCAAAGGACTCTGTCAAAAATACAGACATTATCTTTGATCCGGATTCCCTTTTGAGAAACATATGAAGGCAATATCCCAAACACCATATTCTCACTTCAGAGCGATATGCAGGAGCTGGTATTTAGCCAGCCCTCATAAGGGTTTGGGGATGGCCCAATGTGGTTACAGCCATAAAAGAAAAAGGAGGATGGGGAAAAAGTGAAAAGAAAGATAAAAAGTTTAATCAGGTTCACCCTGCACGGATGCATCATGTATTGCCCACCTTTTCCTGTAATCCCTTGGCATCCAACATACACACAATTTTTTTAAATATAGTGTTGGTGTGACATTTTCTGTTGACTCATCTTAAACATGTTTTGCCTTTCACTGATAAAAATAAAAAATAGTCCATGTGGCTCCGGGGCACACCTACTAAGATGTTTACTGAGGTGTTTTGTGAGCGTTTGTGTGTTATGAAAGAGCTCAGGGTCAGGGTTTACCCAGCTGGGATGTGATAATAAAGCAGGGAGGACGCCGACTGTTTCGTAGGTGCGGCCTCGGGGCAAGGCAGGTTTCTGAATCAGAGAGACTGTTTCCACTGCCTCCGTCTCAGCTCAGGGTCTCTGTCAACAAGCGATTGTTTTCTTTGATGTTCTAGTTTTTGGAGTGGTGTCACATACAGGCTCTGTCAATTAGGTTTAGTGAAGGTCTTTTGTTGCTGAGAGAGCGCACGTGTTGCCTTGCCATGACGCACATGCTAATTAGGGAGAGTGCAAGAAAAAAAAAAAAAAAAAAACACCCAAGGGACAAGGCTGCTGTTGATGTTCTCCAGCACTGGTGAGGAGCCATGTGTCCATCCCCCAGGGAGGCACAGAGAGAGAGAGAAAGAGAGAGAGAGAGAGAGGGAGAGACAGACCTTTAGTGGTGGAGACAAACTGATCCCGTTTCATTTTTTATTTTTAATTCCTTCCAGAATTGGCTGCTGCAACATATTACTCCCTGGCTGTCCCTGCTCCACACTAAGACATTTCCTGTTATTCAGAGCTCAGCATCCTGAGCACTCATGTGGATCTTAAAACATAATAATATAATAACTTGCAGCATCACATCCTAATATGTCAAAGAACTAACAGCTTATCAAAATTAACATTTCATCATGGGCCACTGTCATAATGTTCAGCATGGTATAATATATAACCCTTAGTGATGACAGTAACATAATATGATGTGCATAATTCGTTTATGAGGCCACGCTCAAAATACTGCATAACTTTAACTGTGACAGCTGAAACCAGAGGTGACCTTGTGACATGAATGGTGAAAGCTGAGTGCTTCACTTTCTTATAAATAATTTTAAACAAGTCTAAACGACTGTTTTCATGACTTTTTCCCAGTTTGATTCATTCTGTGTTGTACAAAAGAGGATTAAGTTCACATTTTTAAAAAAAGATTGTAAGAATTCAGTCATAATGTTAAGAAAATAAAGTAATTTTGATTGAAAAAAGTTGTAATTTAATGAGAAGAAAGTCATACTATTTCAGTCGTAATATAACAACAATATGGTGGTAATTTTAAGAGGAAAAAGTTGTAATATTAAGTGATTAAACTCGTAAATTTACAAGGAAAAACTAGCAAGTTTATGCCTAAAAGTCAGATGACATAGTAAAAAAGGGACAAGGTCTCGATGAGGGAGCAGGCGTGGTGTTTCCTGATTGTCCCCTAAAATACTACGACTTTTTTCTCAAAATTACGATTTAATTTTTTTAATATTATGACTTAATTCTCAAAATGTCAAATTCGTCTTTTTTTTAATGTGTCCCTAATCTTCCTTTGTAATTTTAATGCCAGTTTTTTTTAGGGATATTTTTATTAAGCTTTGAGTAAAAACAAATTTGTCAAGTCAAATTGTGCAAAACTTAATATGTGGGTGCTTTAATTATTCTAAATCCTGACAAATGTATCAGTGAAGTTGTATCTGTGTTACATATCTGCTCAGTTTTGACACTTTTCACATCAAGCTGATGAAAAATTATCTATTTTTTGGTGGCTTAAGGCTAATTGATTATAGTATATC